CTTATGTGGAAGCATCCTGGGGTAGTGTAGATTTCAAATTGTCTAAATTATGATCAGTTGGGTAGGGTGGGGTCACAATATGTATTACAAGGGGGGAATTTAGTAAAGAACAGAATGGTCAAAGCTTCTCAGGTGAGCGATGTGGCCCATGTAAAGTTACCAAGGAAGCCAACCACAAAAAATTCAAGAGGGACGTACAGGATAGGTTCTTGACTTTCTACAGACTACTTTTTATGGCGTCGAGCTTGCTCGATCGTCATCTAGCGATCAGTCAGGTTTACGCGACCGAATGTGTCAGTGGATGCATCTGCAATAGAAAATAGCAACAGCTGTAAACCAATATTTCTTTTAAGCCGTTCACAATGAACAATAGCTTGTATATAAAATTAAATGAATTGTATCTTGAATTAATTCTACTACAAAACAACGATATTATGTTTAATTTTTACGCACAAAAAACGTTATGGTTGTTGCGGATGAATTTCTACAAAGAGGGTGCGTCGAATGACATGAATCACATTTTGGGACCGATTACTGTTATACAAACAATCTTAAAGATGGTAAAATAATTACAAAATAAACACGAATACAACAAGACTATAAAGATTGAATTTCTTAATCTTAGCTTTACTTTTACAATCTTCAATCCAATTTTATCCAAACAACCGATGATATATGACCAGTAATGCCAGTATTACTGTATTTATCCATTTCCTCCATTTGTTTACCGCGCCCTATCGTAAGTCGATCGTACTTGTAACAGTAGGGTCATGGTTGTAGTGTAGATACAATCACTATACAACAGAACAACGCTCAGACAATGACAATTAATTAGAATAATTTATGAAACCCTTCATATATCTTAGATTGACTGAAAAGAAATAGGATTGATATTGAGCATGAACATTTCTGACGATGTCTGGTCAATTCGAACACTGTCTCATTCGGATCAGGACAATAGGCCCTTTACTGTATTTGTGTTAAGACTATTTTATTTTATTTTATTATTATGTTTCCGGATTCACTTGATCTATCTGCAGATCTTTTGAAATTGCTTTTCAGGCTTATGATTTTTAGAAAATTCTTCTTGTAGGGTTAGAATAATACTATTTTGTGCTGAAATGTAATACCCTAATAGGTCATTCATGTAGTTTCATAGAATACAATTTGGTTATTAATATAAAATAAAATTTCGTAACCATCGGTATACGTACCAAAAAGCCTAGAATACCCCTAAATTATTATTTCGTATTATGACTGATATATATCTTACTAATTGCTAGTCCATTGATTAATGATGTACCAAAGTAAATTGATTTTGGATTACTCCATCCACCCGATCAACATATACACTGTAGTAGTGACATCTGCATTTGTTGGCGTTCGACGGTGACTTATTAATAAGTTTGCCTTACGCAAAAAGTTTGGATATTGTGTCCGCCAAAACGACAATACGCACGTTTCCACTTGATCTCAATTAATAATTGTATATTTATAACTATTTTCAAATCACTTTTACTTTCTCTACGAATATAAGAAAATTTATTTACAAAATGCAATTAATCTGTACAACATTGAAACCATAATAATCTCGTAAATAAATTAAGTAAATTTTAACAGGTTATAAATAAATTTGAATCTAGATACAGTTAGAAGGTAGTAGAATCCATATTTCGATTTTTGTGGTATCCCTGGAACCTCAGCAACTATATATTGTAAGTCGTTTTAATTTCACGGTGTTAAAATTTCACGATATCTCAAAAAGTACCAATTGCGATGGTTTTAATTTCACACTGCAAGAAATTAATTCAAAATGTCTTATAAGCATTTAAACACTTAAAAAATAATAATAAAATTCACGATGGATTTAATTCCGCGGAAAATTAATAAATCACCAACATAGCAAAATTATGAAAACCATCGTGAATATTTGCGAATCTACAGTAAGTACATGTGAAGTGGAAAAAATGAGTCTTTATTAAGAGCTCGATTTTAAGGGAGAAACAACTTTTGTTATTTTATGTTCCCTTCGAGAAACCGAATGTTTGAGTGAGCTTTTCTGATCATAGAGGGTCCGTCTGCCGTCTGTAAACTTCACATTCCCTATTCTCCACCATAACCATTGAGCCAAATTAAACCAAACTTTCCACGAAGCATCCTTGGCCGAAGTAGAGAGGGTCTTTCTAATGCTGACGCCAACTGTGAGACGGAACCCGGTATTGAAGGTAATGCATCTTAAAGATGCCTTTCGTGCTTAGCACTTCACGACGTAAAAGTCAGTACTTTTCCAAATGTCTTCTTTTGACGCAGAGATTAGAACAAGCATCAAACTGGTACCACCCAATCACAAAGCCATCACCCTACCAATAGGCCGTCGAAATCTAATTTACTTTAATCATATCCCAATACCTGAGTTGATATCTAAAATGGTTTGAAAATCCCCAAATGCTTAGAAAAGCAGCTCTGAAAATACTTCAAAAAGAAAAGAAGACAGTGTCAAATAAATAAAGCCTCACTCAAAAGAAAAACTGGGCACGGAAATGCTCACGTTGTTAATGCAAATGACTATGAGGCGATATCATCACAATTTACATTTAATACATTCATTAAATTCACATTTTCATTGCCGGGTACAAAATTCTCCATCATTTGACATATTATTTTTGTTGCAGACTTTATGTGAAGCAATTCCGGAATTTTTGCGGTCAAATTCACAGCTTAACCCACTATTCATTCATATAGACAATTTTTTGAATCCCTTATTCGGTACAAATTCTATGGTATATACAATCGAACTCATTTACCTCTAGTGTTTAAATTCTGCAGCATTACATTAATAACATGACCTAAATGATTACGGTGCGATAGTTGACTTACAGTGCCAACATGGTTGTTAGGTAAAGCCATATATTTAGAGTTAATTTCAATTAATAAAAATGCAATTAGTAATATGCTGTTACATTGAACTGTTGCATTCCTTCATGCGCTGGGTCCAGCAATGAAATATGAGATATGAAATAAATTCCATAACATTTTTAGACGAGGTATACACTCTGAATTTCATAACATTCCCAAACTGTTGATTCCGAATTTTCAATAAAGTTTCTGTAAGTCATTTTTCTTTCTTCCAAGTTATTGTCAGTCAGTTATTGTGACAGCTATCTTTGAGGTCAAACTATTTTTTCTCTTTTGGAAACCAATTTTAAACATAAGGGCCAGAAATATAAAGAAAAAAATCTATACATTATTCAATTCATGAGTAAAGAAATCTTTAACAGGAATATATGGAGATAACGAGCAGTATTCATAGTCAAAAGTACTTTAAACAATACAAATTTGGAACAAAACAATCACGGACCTCCGAAACATCAGAGGTGGGACCAGGTGCCATGGAGGAGTGAGCAGTGTGTAAATAATGGCCTAACAATTAGTTTGGAAAACGTAAGTCAGCTTTTGACTTAAGGAAGCTTGGGAATCAACAAATTAACCATCAGATTTAACTTAATTTTTTGGATACGATTTCTTAAGCTGTCAGCTATTATTTGGCAAAGAAAAATTTCATACATTTTAGATTTAAAATTTGTTCATTTTTGTATATCTTTATATGGAGCTCTTCTTCTAAAGGAGGTGGAAAAAATCTAAAAAAAAAAAAAAGAAAGAAAAAAAACGCCACAGCCCCCAGTCCCTTTTAATGGTTAATTGTATTTGCCGACATGGTACAGAATCTGGCCAGTTGAAGGATCGGTAGTCCCTATATTTAACAGCTTATAAAATTAGTGATCTAAAGTCCTCATGAATAATATATTACGTCATTGGTAATAACTTGTCCAGAAGGATAATGATATAGAGTGAAGTGAAACATATGGGGATAACGAACAGCATTCAATATCAAAAGTCCATTAAACAATACGAAATAGGAGCAGAGCAAACACGGATCTCCAAAACAGTGGAGGTGGGATTAGGTGCCATGGAGGAGTAAGCATCCCCTGCTGATTGGTCAAACCTGCCGTGTGCTCCTTGTCATGATCGGGAAATAACGGAAAAATCCGTCGTCAATTCAGTGTATAAATAATTGACTAACATTTAGAATGTAAAAAAACGTCAGTCAGCATGTGACTTAATGATAAATTGTATTTGCTGACAAGGTCATTGTATCGGTCATAGAACTTACGAAATGATTACTTTAAACGAGACTGCTCGTATTCTTGTTTCATCAACTTGCTTGTCAATACTTTACCTCGTTTTAGAAATTGTTCATACGTAGAACATGCTCTTGCGTATCGAATGAACTGAGAAATATATACTCCGTATGCAGGTGATGAAGGTATATTGCTGCATAAATAAGGCGATAGAAAGTTGACGATAGAAAGGTTATCATATAGCTTGGTTGTTAGATTGTCATTAACTTCTTTTTCAAGTAAAATATCCAAGTATGAAACAAATGTGTCAGAATCTGTGGTATCTTTTATCTCAAGCTCACCAGGATATATCGTATCGATGAATGGAAATTACCATTGTTAATTAAAAATAAAATTAAAAATACGCAGTCGGTATATCTAAATGCCTACAAATAATAAAGGGAAAATTAAATTTAAAAAATGAATTTAATGGCTATCTAAACTAAACAGGCGTAATCTCGGCTGAAACACTTTACGCTTTTTCATAAACCGCTTCACGGTATATAAAGAGAAAACCTTCCAAATCCAGTTTATATTAAATATTCTTTGAATAATAAACTTTTTAAAAAATTAAGTACATGCACTTAAAGCTTGCTTAATCGAATTCTTCATACAATAATAGATAAACTTTCTTTGATTTCGGACTGATTTTCAGGAATGAGGAATCGATATTAAACTAAAATAACCTTTTTCTCTACTTTGACGTAGAATTTAAATATTTTTAAATCATTCATTAACAAAAGTTAAAGGGATTGACTAAACATTTACGTTTGTTATCTTGAAATACTGGTCTAAAAATATAACGTTGTCGTCCCTGACTGCACACTGATACACATGTAAAATCCGGATGACATGTTTAAAATATGCGTGTTATATTTATATGTTTACTTCTCAAGTTTTCCACTGTGAATTTTTCATTAGGATACGGTTTGTATTAGATATTTCTTTACGCCTTAGAATATCACTAATTTTGCTTCTTTCATTTCATTTGATGATATATACTAGAACCAGGAAGTAAGACGGTAATTGGTAGCAAAATGTAAAAGTTCAATTCATACTTTGAAACTTCTTTATCGTAGACGTGTACCTCTAAATTCCTTAGCTCTTTCTTTACATCACGTGATATAAATGACAAGGATACTTAAACAATAAAATGCTTTCTTTGTTTGTTGTTACTGGAATGAACGGAAGCAGCTGTTGCAGAAAAAATACATAACCCGCGTGAGCGGGTTATGTAAATTTTTTCTGCAATAACTGCGACCGTTCATTCCAGTAACAACAAACAAAGAAAGACATTTTATTGTTTATATTTATATCTGTTTAAATTATCATTTTAAGTAGGATTAAAAATATTAATTATTGTGTTAATGATGCGAACGTCTTTGTACGTTTCATTGATGGAACGGCCACTGATCAAGAAATCTGTACAGGTGATATGCCTAATGTAGTTTATGCAGGGATGAACGCAATGGGTTTTCTTAAGAAATAAAGAAGAAAATATTCAGTGGATGTGAATATATGTATGTATACAGAGTACATGTGTATACAGAGTGAAACTTAAATTTAAGCTAACCTACAGTATACACAGAATTCCTGTGCAAAATATTTTTTCTTCTGCTAGGAAGGGATGTTTGATAAGAACAAACTCAATCGCAACTTATTTCACACTCTGTATGACGCTCTCAAATAAACAGTCTACTAAAACAGCTCCCCCTAAAATACAACAACCCTTCCAACACGTAAACGAACCATAAAATAATTAAATAAATAAACCAAAAAAATGAACAAATCAGTGTAAATTTATCTCATTGTAAATTTGATTTTTGATTGGTTGATAAGGGTAGAAAAGCAACATACTGTCGTACTGCAAAATATGTCGATCACTTTTCGTTATCTTCACCAATTCTTTCATGTTTGTTGGCATGTTTGCAGTTATGCACAGTACATGCAGAATTTCACGGTAGCTCAACCGGTAGAGCGCTCGCTCCGTGATCGGGAGATCGTGAGTTCGTATCTCGGCCGCGACTGACCTAGTCATTAAAATGGGTAGCAACTGTTCCTTCGCCATGCGCTCGGCACTTAAAAGTGAAAGTTGCGGGTCCTTCGGATGAGACCTTAAAAACCGAGGCCCCGTGTCAGCAGCAGGCGCTGGCACGATAAAGATCCCTCACTGCTCAATGGCCCTGAGTGCCGAGTAAAGGTCAAAATTTGAAGCCCTTCACCGGCATACGGTGACGTCTCCATATGAGTGAAAAATTCTCGAGAAGGACGTTAAACAATATACAATCAATCAGTCAATCCTCTGGTACTACATTCTATTTCAAGTTAATAAAATTAAATCATGTCTGTTCCGTACACATTCTGTAGATGTTAAGTATAACGAAAAACACGTTTCCTGAAATTGTATGCAAAAGAGCTGTTTATCCCTTTTTGGGGATACATGTACAGGTGACTCTCGATGGCTCGAACTCCGATCTCTCGAAGTGAAGCTCCGGTCCCATTTTTTTCCTCTATATAACTAAGCAAATTTACTCCTGATCTCTCGAACTTCTATCTCTCGAAGTTCTCTATCTCTCGAACCAAAACATGGGTCCCGTTACACATATTTCATTGAATTTTACTCTCTATCTCTCGAAGTTTTGATTGCGCGTGTATACCCGCCGATCAGGCGTAAAATTGAGCCTGGACTTACCTGGAAAAACAGTAAATGCCTTGGGCTGGCATGGAGGTGTTAATTGGGTGTTTACATAGATGACACTACACCTGTTGGTCGTCCGTGTGTTGATATAATTAATTGATTATTATTGGTAAATTATAAACGAATTCAGAACTAATTTTGACTTGAAACCGAGATGATAATTTTTGAAAATAAATTTATAGACGTTAATTCGTTTCAATAAGTTCCCATAGACTATGAACTTTAATTAGAGTCTACATAATCCCATCATGGCAATTTTTGCACAAGAAATTCCTTTCTCGAGGACTGAATACCGATTAAGAAAAATCTGGTGAACACTGGTGAAGGACCAGATCTAGATCAAGCCGCAGAGGAGCCAAACCGACAATTGCTATCCGGGTTTCATGTTATTGTGAAAAAAGAATAAATAAATATTGCAACTTCAGGAATTCGTTGTATTTATTCGAAATATGATCATTATTGTTGATATCAAGTATATTACCTGTAAAATACGATTGAAAACGTGCAATAACTTTATTTACATATACTTCCGGTATCTATAATAGCAGAACATTGATGATCGGAACTGAAAATTCCGGATTTTATTTACTTTCTATCTCTCGAACCCCTCGATCTCTCGAACTTTCCTTGCGGTCCCTTGGACTTCGAGAGATCGAGAGACACCTGTATATACAATTCCAACATATATTTTATAATAAAATTAAGTCGCATGTTGCCTTAAATACAGTACCGACCAGACTCAACCTGACACAAAGCAGTCCCAGAGCAGTCCCGGGGACTGCTTTCTGGGACTGCTAAAGCAGTCCCACAGCGGTCCCAGAGCAGTCCCACAGCAGTCCCAGAGCAGTCCCAGCAGTCCCAGCGGTCCCAGAGAGCAGTCCCAGCAGTCCCAGAAAGCAGTCCCAGTGGGCGGGGTTTATTAGTTTAATGGGCGGAGCTAACTCAGAAATGAGATTTCCAATAAACAATGGAACTATAAAAGGCAGTAGAAATTGATTCTGGGTATTATGCCAGGAATCCTTACATGTACGCGAAGGTCATTTATGAACAGAACATGTACGCGCTTGAAAATTGAAATAATTATAACATTTATTGGAGGAAGAAGGCTTTCACATTTACATGTCCATATATGAATTACACTGAACATGAATATTTAATCACAATTCTTGGGTATATTAATAATTCCTCTGTGATTGATACTGGTTCCCATACTTATTTTTTATACAGAAAATTAAACTTGAATTAATTATTTTCCACCAGAAGAAGCTTTAATAGATCTTATCATTATATGGCCAATTTAGACTATCGGGATACTCTAAAGTTAGAGTTTTCTTAAGTCATGTATTGGGGCTTTTTCAAAAATTCTTTGTTAATTTTGCCAAGTATTATTTTTCAGTCATGATTATTTTAACTGACAATTTCAATTTAATTATCTTTAATGTCTAGTTCTATAAAACTCAGTTTTAAGTGTTTTATTTATAAATGTTAGAGTGTACATCTGTAAATCACCAGAATGAAAGCTTCAGATTATGTTCAAAATTAATTAATCCCGAAAGAAAATTATACACATTTCATTTATCACATTTTTTTCGCATTAAATAAATTGAAAATAGGTCATTGTTTACCAGCATGTTCAATGATGTGTGACACTGATACAAATACCCAAATAACATATATCGATTTTTCTGCCCAAAGGCGATTGAAGCAATGGGTGTTGATACCACCTTATAAACATTGATCGGCCAGGTAAACACTAGCAAAACAGAAAAGAAATAAATCACAATTCCCGGTATTTCATTTTTTTTTAAAAAAATAAATATATTCTTTTAATAACTTGTTTATTAATTAAAAGCTACCGGTAATTAATTAATTCCCCAATGATAATTCACATAGTTTATGTTACGGGAGAATGGTAGCATAATTTTATTTCATGGTCATTTAATAAATTGTTGGGTTTTATTTGAGGGTTACATGGACTACTCTTTTTTTTAGCGTGGTCCTTATAAAACGCGTACGTGTAGCATTTTTAATCAAAATATCTTATTATAATATCTAATTGTAATGATAATTTTTTAAATAGTACCAATGCAAATTTTAAGTACAAATTAAAATTTAACATTAAATGATTAAAAAAGGCCCACGTGTAGCTTTTTTTTTTCTCATAAACTTGTAGTTTATTTTTAGGGATAAAAATTTTCTCATGAATTCCTTATTTATCAACTTTATTTCTTTTTAAATTTATTCTAAATACACATTAATTTGTGTCAGTATACAGTCCCTGAAAATATGAATTAACTATAATAATCTCTACTTATCAAAAGAATGTAAGAAATCCTTGCTTATTAAACAGTTTAAACTCCTCTCTGCTGCAAGTAAACAAAACAATAGGGAGCCTGCAAATTCAGAATACACAAGGGGCGGAGCTTTCATGTCACTCAGAACCTTTTTCACACATGAGTGAACAAAGCAGTCCCAGAAAGCAGTCCCAGGGGCAGCTGGGAATGCTTTTCATAGCAGTCCCAGAGCAGTCCCATAGCGGTCCCAGAGCAGTCCCACAGCGGTCCCAGAGCAGTCCCACAGCAGTCCCAGAGCGGTCCCAAAGCAGTCCCGGGGACTGCTTTCTGGGACTGCTTTGGTGTCAGGTTGGGTCTGGTCGGTACTGTATATGGAGATGACAAACTATATCCAAGTTCAAAGGTCCATTTAACATTACAAAAAAGGAGCGGAGCAGACACGAAACTTAAAAAAATTCAGAGGTGGGATCAGGTGCCATTGAAGAGTGAGCATTCCCTGCCGGGCGGTCACACCCAATGTGTGCTTCTTGTTGTGATCGAGAAATAACGAAAACTGTGTTCATCCAAATTGTTAGAAAATTATTTCTACTGAATTTTTCACGGATTTTTCGTTTGCACGATCATGACATGCATGTGATAGTAAAACGTAAACTGAGTATACGAGGGATTATCAAAAAGTTCGTGGACTAGCGTCATAAAATTAAAACCGCTTTAGGCACAACAATGAATTTTAAAATATCTAGTTAGCATCATCTTTTCAATCTAAAGAATAAATCATAAATCATAAATTTTGTTTCTTAATAAATAAGTAATGTTTTTGTAAGCAATGGTATGTACAGGCGGCGCAACCTCGAACACGACGTTTTTGCGACCTATATGTAACTGAGAAAAACTCTTGTGATATGGTCATTTGACATCCAAAAATCCCGTTAATTCAGATATAGGACACAATTGTTCCATAAAATATGAAATTTTCACTTCATTCTGGAAGTTCTATGAAATTTTATCGTGAAGTTTCACGGAATATCCAAACAAATGAGGGCTTGAAAAATTACGTCAAAAGGGGGGAAGGGTTTCCGTTTCCAACATTCTATAACGTTTTGCCCCTGAAAAAACTGGTATAGACCTAAAATATGTTGAAACAGGCTACAGAGAAATAATATGCACCCAGAGTACTTCTCTTTGAATGTCAGAATAGATTCATAGAGAAAGGAAAACACAGTTAATGTCGATTTTCAGTCAAGGTATGAAAAAGCAATCACGTCAAAAATGACGTTGATCATGTGTCGTAGGTATTGAACTCCCAAAAGCAAAATATGCCGGCACAATCAAGTGCGGATCTCTCCCAATGTATTAATCCATTTGGAATATCATATTCATTGAAGGCCATTGTTCATGACATTGTAAAGTCATATAAACAAGACGGGTTTAAGTCCTTACTCAGCTCCAGGGAATCTCATCAAAAAAGTGTATGAGGTATAAGAAGCGGACATTGGAAAAACAATGACGTTATCGGACGTCATGAAAATAAACGACGACAGCGCCAGGTGATCATATAATGTCGTTTTCATATTATAATAATTTGGCAAATAATGAACGTATCAGGCTAAGATTTTCAACATTTCTTTATTTTTTGTTGTTTTATGTTCCATATAAATTTTGAAAGCACAGACTACATAGTACTAATTTTATAGCCTCAGTCCACGAACTTTTTGATAACCCCTCGTAGAAATGACTCAAGATCATCACATCTAGAAAATGTTCTTTACTATATGACCATAAATACAAGTGTTGTCCAAAAGGTTCGTGGACAATGACGTTTTTGTCAAAATAAATGGTTCTATATGCATCTATTGTATATCAAAATATTTCTTATGAAAAACCAAGTCAGAATGATTTAATATTTATTGAAGAAACTTAGTATTTTTTGTAAAAATCGGGGTATTTAAAGATCGCAGATTGTGCGCACGGACCAATCTGACGTTAAGCTATTTTCATTATAACGTCAAACATTTGGATTTTGACTTAATGCTTGTTCATCGACACACACTGCATTTCTTTTTCAAGGCACAACGCACTTCCAAGTGCTAGCAATAATCTTTTAGCATAGATTATATTTTAATGAATTTTTAAAATAAAAAAAATATGCACAAAAATTTACAAGCATCATGTAAATAAACATTTTATAAACACAGTCTGCACAGCCCAGTAAGACGCTGCGCTAGATTTATAACAACTTCATGAATAGAAATCTCCATTTTCAGTAAAATACTTGTGTTTTTAAATCCTTGTAGTGTCTTCGAATTTGTACACACCGTTGAAAAATCGAATATACAAATCTCAGATCGATACACTAAATAATTATTTCAATAATTTTGAGTTGTTTTAACAAATATTTTGTCTCTTACGTCGTTTCAACCGTATTAAAACTTTTTTTAATCGGATGATGCCCCGTGCGGATGGCCGACGTCGCTTTTTATCTTAACTTTTTATCTATTATTTGCACTGTCTATATCGTGAGCGATATTTAAGATACCATAAAATGATTATAGCCTCTTTATTTGTGTTACATAAAATTTTTATTAATATTTGACTTCTTTTATATAGAAAATAATCATTTAAATCCGAACACTTTAGTCAGAGTTAATGTCATTTTAACCTTGGTCCATACGCACTACCTGCGACCATTAAATATCCCGATTTTTACAAAAATATTACGTTCCGTCAATAAAAATTTTATCATTCCGACTTGTTTTTTTTTTCATAAGAAATATTTTGATAGACAACAGATTTATATAGAACCATTTATGTTCACAAAAACGTCGTTGTCCACGAACTTTTTGCACAACCCTCGTATAATTTAGTGTTTTAGATACTTTGAAATGGACAGAAATTAGAAGGTATTGAGGACGTAGTTTAGAAAAGAATATAATTTTCTTCATCAGAAGAGATTAACAGAAAAAAGCAGATGAATGACAAAATGAAATGATTACAATCCGTCTTCTACCACTGAAATTTTAAAATACAATGTTGAACAACTAGTTGAATTAGAAATATTACTAACTTAAAGCAATACTTAAATTTCGAAGAGTTTTGGAGCTTATGTTACTAAGTATTTAACCATTAAATCTATATTTTCGCTTTTTTAGATGATATATCAGCATTTAAAGCAACAAAACAACAAGGTCGTCAAATAACGGATGTGGCAGAAAATGCTGTAGACAGATCTTTATCTACCTGTTCTTCTACTGATGCCACTACTCCAGCTTGGTGGTACGTGGATCTCGGAAAAGTCAAAAGTATCTATGACGTAGAGGTTTACTTCAGACTTTATAATGAGATTTATAGTAAGTAAACTTTTAACGTTTCTGAAATAAAAATGTTTTTCTATTCTTTCCTTTACATCTCTTTAAAAAACAAAATAAAAACAAACTAAAAACAAAACAAATGAACTAAAATCTTTCTTGGAAGTCATATTAACATGTGTCACCCAATCTTTTTCTTATATAAAATATATGGAAAATTTAACTCAAAATTCCATAATAAAATAGATTTTAAGGCTTTTAAATAATTTTTTTTAATTGTTTTAATATGATTTTTAAAGTCATATAAAGATACACAACACCCAAAAGAACTTTATTCGGTAATAACCGATATTTGACTCCAAATCAAACTTTGACAGAGAAATATTATAATAATTTAATTTTGTTCTTAAACAGGGGGATATATGCTGACTACAAAGCACTGAATATTTTCACAAGCAATGATGTCATATGTTTGATATGACGTCATGAAAATGACATAAATTTAAAATTTCAGTGATTTCTACAGCAAAAAGTACATATTACGTCGATATCTTGAGTAAAACTTACCGAGCGCAGGTCTGATCAGGCTCAATATTTTGATATGGGTAGAATGATAATATCAATGAAATATGTAAATATTGTTTCTGAGCAAACTTGCGCTCTATAATTTTTAAAGCTAAAATTGTTGAAAGAGCTTGAGTCAAAAAGTACAATAATTGGCCTGATTTCAAAATAAGACAAATTTGCCTCTGGATATATCTACAGACTATATATTTTTTCAAACCAACTTTCTTTTTTCAGTATCTCTAACATATTTTCTGTAAGAGGTCTTCAAAATAGCATATGTATAGGGGTGAATTTCGTACGTTTTACGGAACGTCATAATGACGTTGTAAATTTTAACACTTCTGAGTTCCATAAATAAAGTGGTAAATATTTATTAATATATGAGCATTTCACAAAAAAGTGTATATAAAAATATTTTACAGATAGCATTTCGATATTTTGTTAATAAAAGACAATTTATATAACTTTAAAATTATAACATCAGGTATAAACAAGCTTAGGTATAGACTCTACATGTACAAACGAAAATGACAGCGTGTCCGTTAGGCGTGTGCAAATCGTGGTACACGTAAATAATTAAATAACGATTAATCAATGTTTTGTAATAATAATTTTATCAATTAACCTGTATAAAGCCTTCAACTGAATAAAACCTGAAAATGATACATTGCTTCAGCTACGGTTAACACATAGGTACATGTATGTACAACTTCAAGCATCTACATGTACTTTCAATTTGCCAGAAAGATGCGTCCATCATGGTTTTGAGAAGGTGAACTCAACTAGTTTTCATTTACTTGTATAAGTTGCCGATTGAATTATAATTTTTCATAGTAAATAATTAAAAATACACGCAGTTCAGCATGATTTTGATCATATTATCCAATCAAGAAGTTGCCCATACATAATACATGTGTAACCTATTGTGATGAAAAGGGGGAGGGTGGGGTTCAGATCTCTAAATAGGGATCACGTGGTATATTTGACGCACGGATTTGTTAAGCCCATACATAATACATGTGTAACCTATTGTGACGAAAAGGGGGGGGGGGTCAGACCTCTAAATAGGGATCACGTGGTACATTTGACGCACGGATTTGTTAAGATATAATTCTTCTCAAAATATATTATCATCTTCATGTATTAGCAATCAAATAATGAAACGATTTATTTTAAATACTTTATACAATACGTCTATTGACAATCACTAGACAGGGTAATAAAATCATTTTCCCTGCCATCTTTCTGCTTTTCTTAATTTTCGACCATTTTCAACACGTGTATTTTGAGCAATACCTATACTTCGTTGAATGAATACTTCCGCCTTTCCGAATTTTTTGGCAAAGATATTAAACCGAAGTATATTTTTGACACAAAAAAATAAATGTGGGGCTAGGCCCCCCTGATTCAGCCAGTGTGCATCATTTAGTGAGCTCAATGCTCACATTAGCCCTATTTTTTTTTATTGGGGGGGGGGTTGAGGGGGTGTTGAATTATGTTCTGTACATAACGGTGAATATACAAATGATTATGTAATTATATATTCAATATGAAATGATAAATATCACACAAACTCGTATTTTAAAAATAAAAGCAAACAATATTCACCCAATCTAAGTAGGTTTAATGTTTCTGAAGTACTGGCGAAGAAAATAGGAGGCGACCATGATATTCAATCGCAGAATAATATTATATCCCAACCTCCCGACCGGAGTACATGTATCAAATCAACTTCTGCCATTCCTGACACAGATTTTATTTGCAACACCATTTTACAGTTTACCAACAATCACAATCATTTAATATGGCTCTTAATTATCTTTTTTGGAAACATTCACCATTTTGAAAATTTATTTGAGGGTGGGCGGACCTTTAAAAATGCCCCAATCTTTGTTGGATTTTGCATATGTATGTCAGTAAAAGATTCAATTGTATTGAAGTCATAATTATAACTTAAGTCACTCAACACAATCATCACTTTGTCGATTCGAAGGGTGTACTACTTTCAAGCAAGATTTGGCAAGTGATTACGCAGTGGATACGATAATAATTTGAAAAAGACTTTGAAGAATAGTTTTATGCTTTTATACACATGTTAAAATTTATTATAAGCGATGTCGGAACCTAAGTACTTTTTTACCAATTTTTTTTTTATAAAATAACTTTATTTATTTATTGATATATTAATCACAGAATTAAAGCAGAGAGATGAACAGACAATCCCCCCCCCCCTCTCTCTCTCTCTCTCTCTCTGAGACATGCTGACTACCTTTGATATATAGACTAAATGAAAATATTCAATGTATGAGCAAAATATAAAAACATCAAAGTGTTCAGTAAATATATTATAGCATCTCATTCTGTATATACATGTAAATGTAGACATTGTTCAACATTAATCGTTCTATCAGACAATGCGTGATTCTTGTAGGCCTAATACAATGTACGAAGAATAAGTAGGCCTATAATTAAATAAGTGTCCTAAATGTTAATAATGTTTTTTTTTAATTTTCCGCATTTTCATTTCTCTCTCTCTCTCTCTCTCTCTCTCTCTCTTTTGGGAGCACCTAAAATATTGTATAGATCTGCAATTAACGGATGTATGAAAAACTCCGCGACTTTGACGTCATTTTCTGCACATTGTGACGTCAAGAACAGTTTGACGGCTTGAAAACAATAAATAGTAAATAGGCCTATTATGGTTATTACCTGGCTGCTGTAGAGGACTTCTGTTAAAAAAATCATTTACTACAGACATGCAAATGTGAAAAGCATAGACTAACGCAAAATATGCGTCTATTGACAATCACTAGACAGGTTAATAAAATCATTTTCCCTGCCATCTTTCTGCTTTTAATTATATCTGGGGTTGTTTTATGAATCCACTCTGTAATCTTCCTGACGTTGGGCTAATTTATGTAATTTTTGCTTACAAAAGGCACTACTTTAAGTGCCTTTTGTGACCAAAAACTTGCATGAATCAGCCTGATGTCGAATCATGCCGATATATTATCTTACACTTTGGTTAAGTTCCTGAAATGTTTGCTTTCCAGAGAACAGGAAAGTTTAAAAGACAGTTCGGGTGAATCAACTCTAATGTCGAAACATGACCGATTTTGAGCGCTAAGTTTAAATGAGAATTAAAAGATTTCGTAAAATAACGTACTGGTTTAGGAAGAATAACTCCATCTTGCGTTGTTTAGGAATGTGATCACATGATCAATTTTCACGTAATCTCATAAATATTCATGAGATGCGTCACTTGTGTTTTGACGTAATGAAGATATACCTGATATAATCTCATAAATATTCATGAGATGCGTCACTTGTGTTTTATAAATCTGTTTAGCCTACCATATTTACCACGTATAACTGTTGAATAATGTATTTAGACTAATCTAAAAGATTTATATTTTTGTTTATATAATGTACAGTAACTTTTCTTATGATAGATTAAATCCTTGCAATGTGATGTTTTAATAACAGGAAATTATATAAGGTAACTTTGCTCTTTGCATGAACCAGCTGATCAAACGACATTCATAAATATTAATTTTAAATATGGGGCGCATTCCTCTCGGAGAAAAAAACTTGTTCAAAAATACGCGTAAGATACCATTGATTAATTTTATACTTGAATTTTTTTCCGAGAGGAATGCGCCCCACTTGAAATTTTAAGATGAATCTGTAAAATCGACGAAAAATTCCGGAAAAACTCAAAACGTGCTAGGTTTTAGCCGTTACGGTGAAAAAGCCAACATCCGGTTTGACTAAAACTACCCACCCCTGCACTGACGAAGTCGAGTAGATAGGGAAACCACAAATAGTTTTCATGAAAACGATGATTTATTTTTTAAGAAATTCACAGGCCGTATATTGTACTTTCTGACTTTTGTTCTTTTGTCCATTTTGTCCTAATTCTGAAAAATGATATAAAAAATGATATCAAATCGGACTAGTTTGTGACGTCATAAAAACAAAAATTGTCAAGAACTACTATAATATGTTCTGTAATTAATATTTCTCATACAATTTATTGAATTCAGCACATTTCAAGATTTTTTCAAAAGTTGACTTTTGTAGGGGCAAAGATATGCAATATACCGTATGTAGGTGTTTCCTGCCGTTTAATTTTCGCCGTTTTTTGTATATATCACACATGACAATATCTACTATGTGTATTTACATTTTGGTCAAAATCGATCTGAATTTGGACAGGAAGTTCCCTTTCGCTGATAAAAATTTTCTTGATTTTTTTTTTGTAAAACGACCAACTTTAAATTTATAGCGAAAAATCGCCCCACCCCTCTCCATTAGTGACGTTTCTCACAGCATCTTTCAGGCAATGCTAAGATTCTTCGAATACAAATAAAAATTCCTAGCTGAAAAAAATTGGGGAAAATCTACGTCCAGGTACTTTAAAGGGATATTCTCAATATATAGATTAGTAACTATTATAATAGAATTAGATAGGA